ATGGACTTAGCAATCTTCACCAACAGAATAGGCTAGAAACTATAGTGTGGCTTTCGATTGCATAATATTTCTATTTATATTATATTATATTATATTATACATAACTTCAAATGTCATGCGCACAAAGGTCAAGTCAAAATCTTTATTTCCTCATATCTAATAGTCTCCAAGTTACTTCTGATAAGTAGTATGCCACTAAGCATTAAATTTACTTACAGACACCAGCCACAACCAATGCCACAGCAACCAAGGCGCCGTTCTCTTACAGGTCTTCCTTCAGCAACTGCGTAACCTGAATCAATATCACAGAACAAACCCTATCAAAATCTAGCAGACTGGAAAATTAAGCCTGTTACCCAACAAAGGGACGTAATAACCAAACTCCCACACATAAAATTCTAAATTATAAAAGTCAAATGCTCATAATTTCTCCTAAGATGACCAGCTTTGCTCTCACCAGACAAATGCTGCACGATTTCTTACTATTCAATTTAATGAAACAACACGAATAGCTCACCATAAACATGACTCTTGAGCGAATCAGCGTATACAAGTCTTAATTGTAAGATTATCAAACAGAGTAGATCTAGTGCTTCTAGCAGTCTATCAACCTGCCAGATCTACCTGCAATCTATCCCACAACTTCAATCATAGCCAACATCGAATAAGCAAAAACCAGGATGAAAAGGGATAAGAAGTAATCACAGTCAAACCACTGATTAAGCAAAAACCAAATCGATTGAACTCTACAACATCAAACTGCGAACAAGATTGTCCGAATCACTCCAGTCACCACACTAACAACCACTATCAATCTCCACTGATCAAACAAAAATAAAGCAAAGTCTTACTCACAAAAACCAAGTCAACCCAAGAACAGAAACTTTTCCTCAAACCCCAAATTTCCACAAACAAACAGTTGACCTAACTTTATCTCTCTCTATCTCTCTTGCAGTACAAATCAAGCAGAACAAAACAAAGCTGAACCGATCTCGAAAGTTCCGATCTTTGATCCAAACCATCACATGAATCACCATTCCAGAAACCAAATTTGGCCCGTTTCGTTTCCAAGCCCAAATCAAAACCAGTAGACTAAACAAAAAATAAGAATCAAAGGCCATACCGGGTACTGCTTGGTATCCCGGGTAGTACGGTGGAAGAGGACCGGCGTTGACGGCGCCGGCCGGTGGAACGGGTTGGGGAAAGCCAATAGCGGGATGTGGCTCGGGCGGAGGAGGGTAGTTGGCGACGCCTTGGAAGGTGCCATACTGTGGTGGTGGACCGGGTAGTGGCTGCGGCGGAGGGTGGTGGTGATGGTGGTGGTGCTGGTGGCCGACGACGGAGGCTATGGGCTTGTCCTCTTCGGTCATTTTTGTTCTGCTACGGTGGTCTCTCAGAAGGTTTTGATTTGGCTACTGTGAAATGGTGGATGGTGCGAGAGAAATGGTTCGATCAGAGCAGTGGAAATGAATGAATGAAGGGGAGACGGATGATTGTGACTTTTTGTTTTGTGGACCAACTTGTATCAAGAAATATTTTAGCGTTTCTGAAAAGTGTACTAGTTTTGTAAAAGGAGAAATCGCGTTCGGTTAGAGCGTGTTTGGGAAGGTGTTTAATTTGCGTTAAATGGATGTTTTACGTTTTCTTAGACACAAACGAGGAAAATGGGACTCTTGAACAGGATTTATATACACATACTTGGATAGTAATTTGATCAACTTCTTCCTAATCACTGACAATAAAAAAATTAACAATTATTTTGTAAGTTCAAACTACTTTATATATAGGGTTAAATATGTTTTTAGTCCCTAAACTATTGACCGTTTCTGGTTTTCGTCTCTCTTTCAAAGTAAGGTACAATTTGGTCCTCATTCTTTTCGAAAACGTTCGTTTTAGTCATCAAAAACTAACACCGTTTAAAAATTTGGTCCTCATTTAGCAATAAAATGAGGACTAAAACCAAAATTCCGAGGACTAAAACGAATGTTTCGAAAAGAATGAGGACCAAATTGTACCTTACTTTGAAAGAAGGACGAAAACCAGAAACGGCCAATAGTTTAGAGACTAAAAACATATTTAGCCCTTATATATAAAGTAAAAGTCAAAAATTAGAAATATTAGATTAGAGAGGTTCTACAACATTTTTAATTTATGAAAAAATTATTTTATTTTCTCCTACAAACATTTTCTAAAAAAGTTTGTCAATAAAATTTGATAAATAAAGAATAAATGCATTATTTTTACAATGTTTTAAAATATTGGTTTTTATTTTTCTAAAAAAATGTAATGTTCATATATGTCAATATTTCATGTTAAGTTAACTTTTGATCTAGTTTTCAATCTAATCTAATTTTAAATTTAATTCACACTTAAAACAACAAGTGAAATCTAATTTATTTCTAAATAAGGTTATGGAAGTTATAATTTAAAAATATACATGAAGTATGTTTTATCAAACTAGTACATTTTTATTCAATATTATCGAAATAGATAATTTAAAAAAAAATTATATTCATGAATAAATAATTTTACATAAAATAATTTCACTGTGAAAGTTATTAGAGCATGTTGAAAGATATTTTGTTAAATATGTTCTTGAAGAAAACAAAAAATTACCAAATAAAACTTGTTAAGAAAAGTCTTGCAAAGGCTAAGCAATATCTTATTCTAAATGCAATTTTCATTCAACAATGAAACAATCTTGGATTTTTAAGGTTTGTTTCTTGTTCATTCGTGACTTTGTTGTTATCTTTTTTGATCTTTTTTTTGTATCATTATGTTTGATCCGTTCATATATTCTTTTTGTTCCGTGACAAATATGATTTTTGTTAATTTATTTATAATCGTGGTAGTTCTTCAACAATGACATTTTTTATCCACTAGAGGTCAATAATACATTCCTTAACGTCGATTTGTAAGAAGCAATTTATATGGAGCAACCTCCCAAAATTTCTAGTTGGTATTTCGGTTTCTATATCGTCTTGATACATATGATATGTATACCCATATTATTTCTATTATAAATAGAAGACCTTATACCCATATTATTTCTATTATAAATAGAAGACCCTATATATATTTAAGATAAGAGATAATCACAAATATAATACTATATTCAACACCTTTTAACTTTATTATTAGTTGGAATTATGGATAACTTCTAAAATATTTATGAATTAATTTGTATTAGCAATATAGTTTTTTAAAATTCTACATATGAAATAAATTACTTTTCAAAATTTCACTATTCAAATATGTTGTACCTTTCAGCAATTTTCATTTGTAACTTTATCTCTATGGTTCTTTATTAAAAAAGAGTGATTTTCATGGCATAAGACGTGTTTGAAAACTCCTCCTAATGATTTATTGAAGAGAAAAATAAATTAATTTGTAAAAAGTATTCCATATAATTTTCCCGATATTTTTATTTTTAATTTCAAAGTGTGAGAATATGTTCATTCATTTTCTTTCTTTATTCTAAATTTTTTTAGGGTTAAATATGTTTTTCGTCCCTTAAGTATCACACGTTTTAGGATTTAGTCCCTACTCAGAACTTTGATGGTTTTTAGTCCTTAAACTTTTGAAACTCTGAGTTTTAGTCCTTCAAATTGAAGGGTGTTAAGTTTTAGGAGAGGTGTCAAACGGCGTTGCCACGTGAAAAACCAACTGCCTTCTTCTCTTTCTGCCACGTTGGTTGATTAACTTTGCAAATGAGATTAAGTATGTTAAGTGATTGGCACGTGCTTGATTGAAATCAAATTAATAATTAAAGTTCTTAATTGGGCAATTAGGGTTCTTAATTGGGGAAAAGTTAATTGGGCAATTAGGGTTCTTGGGGTTGCAACAGGGACTGGGATTATGGAGAATCCTCCACTGCCACTTCTTCTTCCCCGTGTTGATGTTCTTGCTCTTATTTTCGCGCTGATTAGTGTATGTCTAACAACTTCAGCACACCAAAATCCAGAATTCGCCAAAGCAATAGAGGAACATTATCTTCCAACTAAAGAAATCAATGTTCAAAACAGCTTGCTAACTTACATTGTTAGCGTTGAAAGGTCTGATGAGGGTGGTGATTCTCTTCGGTCTAAGGACTTGCTTGGTTGGTACCGTTCACTCCTTCCATCCAGTTTGGAATCTGATCAGAACCCGCGGCGCATTATTTTCTTATACCGCAACGTGATGGATGAATTTGCAGTGGAATTGACCCAAGAAGAAGCCGAAGCTCTTCAAGAGAAGGAGGAGGTTGTGTCAATGCGTCTTGAAAGGACCTATTCATTACACACAACTCATACTCCAACGTTCTTGGGGTTGCAACAGGGATTGGGATTATGGAGAATTAACAATTATAGTTTTTCCCAATTGAAAAAATTAACTTTTCCCCAATTAAGAACCCTAATTGTCCAATTAAGAATCCTAATTGTTAATTTGATTTCAATCAAGCACGTGCCAATCACTTAACATACTTAATCTCATTTGCAAAGTTAATCAACCAACGTGGCAGAAAGAGAAGAAGACAGTTGGTTTTTCACGTGGCAACGCCATTTGACACCTCACCTAAAACTTAACACCATTCAATTTGAAGGACTAAAACTCAGAGTTTCAAAAGTTTAAGGACTAAAAACCATCAAAGTTCTGAGTAGGGACTAAATCCTAAAACGTGTGATACTTAAGGGACGAAAAACATATTTAACCCATTTTTTTATACAAAAGAATTGTTTAAACAGGTAGTGAAAAGAAATAAAATAAAACATATTGCGCATTCTCTAACATTCGTTTTAACCTACTCTAGTACTTATTAAAATTTATAAAAAAAGTTCTAGAAATATTTATATGAACAAAATTACCTGCATTTTACTTATAAATATTAAATTTTGTTGAAAGTTTTAAAAATATTTATGAGGTAAACTGTATTACCAGCATTTCCCTTTTAAAAATTAGTCTTCAATGTATAAGAAACTTTACTGATAATAAAATACCTCGAAAACAGAGACTAAAATCACTGGAGCCGAATAATAGATTATATTGGACTTATAAATACCATTTATTAATTTACAATTTCGACCTTTTTATCTTCAGTTCAAAGGGCTATGACAAATTTTCCCTCTCTTGCTTGCAAGGTCTATGTCACAGCTATGTCAATCAAGTGTGTCTTTCAGATAAGGCTTCTTATGGATTGGATTGGATTCCGCAAGCCATATTAGCTGGGACAGCTATGTCAATCATTTTAGGATATGACAGGTTAAGATCTGTTGCACAAATCAAGAGTAGCATAATTAGCAGTTGAATTAGCAACAATGCATATTAAAAAACAGATTTGACTACTCTTTTGTAAAGTTTTGCTAGCACTTACTTGCCATGATGTTCTTGAACTTTTCCTGGAAAAGGAGGGACCAAAATTACTACTACACAAGTAGGGGCTAACCAGCAGTAGAATAAAAATGTGACTAGCTAGTTTTAAAACATATTTTAGCTACATGTTATGAATCAAAAGGTCTACTTCTACAAATCTAATTGCAGAAATGAAAGACAATGATAACATGTATTCACATTTCATGAACATGTCTGACCAAACAGTAGCTTCTAACAGATAGCTGAATGAGTGCATTACAGACATATCCCACTAACTACCCTCTAGATAATGAAGAGAAATTGAGGATTAGATATCACCAACAAAGTAAACTAAGAGCAAATTTTCCACTGATAGGACTGAGATCTATCTACCAATTCAAATCTAATGCCTTTTCTATTATATATTTGTCAACATCTTAGATGTTACTGACTATGGCAGCAGTTTTTGCTGTAAGTTGGTTTCTGTTTTAAGCATTCTACATTACAGTGGCGTGTGTTTCCATTAGGATCTCTAGAGTAGTGTTTCTTCAAATTTAACCACTTAGTTTCATTGGGTGAATTGAGCTAAAACTATATGGATGTCATCAAACATTACCTCATCCTTTGTTAGGCGTGGATTGTGTTCCATCTCCTCTCCAACAGTGCTTACCTAAAATCAGTAATTTGTATAAGCAACTCGCAACACATTTGGAAAGAAAAAAGCTTAAGGGTGTCCTTACAGTGAATCCTCTGTAGTCATGAGCTGGATAAATTAACGTACTCTTGGGCAATGTACAAATCTGTTTCCATGAAAAACATGATCAATTTAGTATTAATATTGAGGATGAACAAACCAGAAATATCTTTTACTTCATGCCTGTGTATGGATTGATTTGTAAAGCTGCTCTGAACTCCCACCCTGCATTAGGCAGCAATGAATAAATTTGAGAAGATATTAGAAAACAGCTAGTAAGACCAAAACCTAAGCCCAATGTCATTCAAAAGTTGAGGTCACATAACATTTGTTCATATAAAACTTTGAACAGTCTTGAGAAGCATAACTAAGGAAAACGGGAAAGAAGAATGTACCTGAAAATCTGTCCTTCCACATCCACGTATTAATACGGCATCTCCAGTGAATGCCATCCTTGGTTGAGGTTGATCAGGTGCATCTCCAGTAACATAGGTAACACAACCTTTGGTATGACCAGGAGTTGCACGGACCTACAATATTAAAGAGAATAGTACATATTACAGGCTATAAAGTAGATGATACACAAAAACATTGATGAGCTCTTCCCACCCATGACAACAGAAAATAAGATCCATTTACAAGTTAATTTAAAGACAAAAGTCCTTCATAATTGAAACAGATGTACCCTGAATGAGGGAGTCAAAACTACATGTCAGTATGTGATAGGATATAATGTGTGTATGATAGGATATAATGTGTGTATGATAGAAGGAAACAGATTAAAAAGTAATTGTTAGTTAGGTTGTTAGGGTGAGTGAGGTTTCCTTTATATAGTTGGAGGCTCCTGGTATGCAGGGGACTTTTGGCAATTTTGTAGATTGAGCTTTAGCTTTTTGTAAAGGGGAAACCCTTGGAGGAGAGAGTCCTCTCCTATTTTTTTGTGTTATTTTCAGTCTATACAGTCTATACCATGTAAAATATTACTCTTATTTCTCTTTTCAATTATGGGTTCCTAACAAAATTGGTTTGACATGCCGGATCAAGAAAGAGGTGGAAACATGGAAGATTAAATATTTTGGAGAAAGGGGCCAGCAAACAACGAAGAGCCATGACAGAAAAAAAAGACTGTATGCAAGAAATAAGGAAAACCCACCAAGAAATAAAAGACATGTTGCAAGAACTCATTAATGATGGAAATGGCTCATAAAGAAGTGAGAAATCTGTCATTAAAGGAAAGAAAGAGGGAAAAACAGGTAAGGATGATGTGAAAAACAGTCTGCAAAACATCAAGAAAGGCAAGAAATTCTCTGAAGGAGAGTACTTGGCTAATGATGAAGAGAAGAAGAAAGAAAGATATCCATAGAGTAGTAAACCATATGAGGAGGGAGAAGAGGTCACTAGGTCAGAAAGCAGTATAGAACAATCATATGGTCCATGGGAATCCTGGAAAAGAAGCCGTTCTTATCATTAATGGAACCGAAGGAGTCAACAATTCTCTAATATCGACCACCACCCAAGCCTCCAGACCTGAATTGGAGGACAGTAGCTAGTGGATTCCCTTCCTATGATAACACATTGATGAAAATGAGCCATGGGAACAAGCTTCACTATTTCAACCTTGAGGACAAGGTTGTTCTGCGGCAGCGTGTAATGATAGGATATAATGTGTATATGATAGAAGGAATCAGATTAAGAAGTAATTGTTAGTTAGGTTGTTAGGGTGAGTGAGGTTTCCTTTATATAGTTGGAGGGTCCTGATATGCAGGGGACTTTTGGCAATTTTGTAGATTGAGCTTTAGCTCTTTGTGAAGGGGAACCCTTGGAAGAGAGAGTGCTCTCCTATTTTTTTGTGTTCTTTTCGGTCTATACAGTCTATCCCATACAGAATATTACTCTTCTTTCTCTTTTCAATTCTGAGTTCCTAACAGTATGTCATCTATAATAAAAATAAGATGAAATCATCCTCAAGTGTCCTTCTTTATTTCTCCATCCAAGATTACAGTCATAACAAGCTAGCATTCAACAATGCCACAATTTAGTTTAACATAAAGCTGCAATTAAATTAGTGACAATGACCTATCCATCAGCTTGACAAATCAGAGTCCTTTTCATTTAGAAATATGGGTACTCATGACATAAATGATGTTGAATACTGGAAGCTGCATCAAATTATATGCAATGTCTGTCTTCATAAGTTTAGAGTTTCACAGACTGGATATTCATTTATCATATTATACAAAGAAATAGATAGATTAAGCAACCTATATAGAACCCCTCATCCCTTATCAAGGACTTAATGAAATGCAAGGTATCTTTGATAATCCCCAATCATTTGGCAACAACTACAGTCACAAAACAAGCTATAACTGTTGAGAATCTACAATAACATTGACTAAACATTAGGGAAGCAGCTGCAGACTTACCTCTAGAAAAAGATCACCAAAATGGACCTTATCACCTGGCTCAACATAAAGATCGGCCGTTGCCCCACTTGCTTTTGAAATAACAGATTTTACACCGGGTACTTTTCTCTATGCGTGATAAGTGGATAACAAAAACACACCAAGTTACCTCCACAGCAAAAAGTATTCACAAATATTGGAAAAACTTCCTCTGCCCTTAAATTGTTTACAGGGTCAACAACACATCCTACTTTACATAGAAAACATTTTTACAAACATTTTATGAACTGAGGGAATGAAGGATGAGATGGAAGTAACAATACAGAAGGTGCACACCTTGATAAGGCCAGTCCCAGTGACATGATCCGCATGCACATGTGTGTTCAAGGCATACACAAGCTTCAACCCCAGTTGCTCAATAAGCAACACGTCTCTATCTACTGTTCTATCAACCGGGTCAATCAACTGAAATTTCAACAAGAAATTTCGTCAATCACCAAACAACAGAAAGTAAAAAAACAAAAAGACTATTTATGCTATCCTTAAATCAGAAATGTATGAGTTTATTAAATTCTATAAAAACTACTTAAGAGACGTATCTACCATTATTTCTGATTCATACATTAAAAAGAAGACTTTTCTATTGTGGTCCATGTAAATTAAACGAAAAACGAAAAAGCCCATCATCCAATTCACTAAAGGCCTGAATGGAAAAAACCTACAGTCCAATCCCCAAAAAGCCTCCCACCCACATAAAAACACCCCACAAACATTCAACCACACTTCAAAATTCAATCTTTAATTCACACAAATTTCCCCACAAGAACAAAATTGAGAGAATCCTACAAGGGCTGGTCTTTCTGGGTGCGAGGCATCCGCGAGAAGGTACGTGTAGGTGGACGATTCCTTCTCAAAGAGCTGGCGGAACAATAGCTTGGAGGAAGAGGAAGAGGAGAAAGAAGCCATTTGCGATCTGGGTTTGAGAATTGGTTTAGAAATGGAAATAGAGAGAGGAAAAGGCGAGGCTTTGGAAGCGCAGAGTGTGGTGAAGCAGAATCGTAGCATGTTTGGGAGCATAAATAGTCGCTAGAATCAAAAGGGCTGCGTTAAAATGGGATAGAGATTGAGGTTGAAGTTGTTGGGTTGTGAGTGTGAAGGGAATAAAGAAATAATTGATGACGATGATTTTGATCAAGAGCCCATAGACAAGTTCGTCATTTGGAGTTGGTCAGTGGCAGCTGAGCATGGATGTCACGTTGGATGCTTCAAGGCTCCTATCCTAGTTATTGATATTTGGTGGTGCTGCCATTTTATATTCCGTTTTTTCGTTGTGTTTTCCACTCACTCGTCTGATTCAGAGACGATGCACACATTATTCCAGAAACAATTATGTATGCCACTTAACTAATGTTTTTTTTGGCAATGGAAAGTGACGAAGTAACATAATGTCCTTGAATATACCTAAAGTATATAACAAATTTTAATATACTTAACCATTGAATATACTAACTGATTCTGTTTTTTTCTTTTTATCATTTTGTGTAATTTTTCTTAACTTTATTGAAATTGATAAGTTTTTTTTTTTTCAAATTTCATAATCGTATTTAATTATCTTCTTTTTTTTAAAAAAATTATATATTCTTATAAACTATGGCTAAAACAACTTCCGGTAAATACTTAGTATATTGTTTGGTAAAAGCAACACAAAAACGGTGTAAAGCAGTTTTATATTTATCACATAAACACAGGTTATATCTATTTTTTCCCTTAAATACGATTGATTAGGAGATTTTATTAATCAAAGTAATTATTAAAACGAACATACAACCCATTCTGGAATATAATAGATACATAAATTGATTATAACAAGTACACAATGTTATCACGTCCTAACATTTTTCTTAAAGTAAGCCTGAAAATAAATAATAAGAAAATTCGTACAAATTAAGTTCACTAAGTCGCCTGAAATATTTCACTTATGAAGACTTAGAAGTTTATGAATACTAGAATGTTGTATAACACGTGTAATTGTGTTCTCCTTCTTCAACTTGATTCCTTTATCTAGTTGTAGAGTTTTGATTCATGTTGAGTCTAGTATTAATAAGGCTTAATATCTCTTTTGGTCCCTAAAAAGAGGGAGATTGTTCAAAATGGTCCTATCTTTTTTAAAAAGTTCAAAGTGGTCCCAACTTGTGAAAAATCGGGTCAAGTTAATCCTTTTTAGTTACGGCGTCAAAATTTTAACGGTAGAGCTGCCTCGTTGGCCAAAACTTAATGAGTTGTCCATTTTTTGTGATTGCGTGGCACTGAAGTTAAATGACGTGTTCAGCGAGAGGGAGAGGGAGAGGGAGTGTGCTAGAGGACGGGGATTGGGAGGCTAACGAGCTCTTCGGCGAAGTGAATAACCCGTTCGACAGCTGTTGCGGAAAGATGATAGAGCTCGTCCTGAGTGGTGATACGCTGTGTGGAACCTCCGACGATGGCAGTGGAATGAATAGCAACCCAAATCTTGCAATTTGGGAGGGAAGGGGCTTCTTGCAGCAAAAACCACGGCAGCCAGCAAGGACAAAGACAAAGACAAGAAACGACCTATTTCTCGCTCATCTCGTGGAGGAATCCAGGTTTTTTTCCCCTTTTCCTTTTTCTCTATGTTATTTAAAGTCTTCTACTTTCTCTATTTTCAATTTTGAAACCTTCGACACTCTATTTCTTCCCTCTTTGTTGCTTTAGATGCTAGGTATTTGTCCTTTGTATGAGTGTATATGGTTTCATTTTTGAGTGAATAATCTATCCATTCTTGTTCACTCATACATACACATACATAATCTGCAACTTATTTTTGATTTTTAAGTTTCTGGGTTAGATTTATTTGAAGTGTTCTTAAAGTTTTATTTTTTGTACATTAAGTTATGTAAAGTTTGTTACCTTATACTGTAACAGATCTGAAAGTCATACTTATTATGACATTTGATTAGTTGAAAATGTAATTTTTTCATACTAAGTGGGTACCCATATGTGTTTTTATATATTTTTGTAACTCTTTTATGTGTTTGGAAATATAGTTTCATGTGGGTCGTATCCATAGACAGCTGAAAAAAAGGGTCCAGGCCAATGGACGTGTTGGGGCCACTACTGCAGTATACTTGGCCTCAATTCTTGAGTATCTGACTGTTGAGGTTCTTGAACTGGCATTTGATTTCAACGACGGTGGCATCAATGACCGCCATGGCTGTGCGAGATTGAAGATGGAGGTTGGGTTTCCTGATTACACCTGTAATGCTCTTGAGGAGATTCTCCATGGCAGAGTTATCATAAAGCTTGGATCCATGGTTGGGAGCCCCAACGACCTTGATGACCAACCACCAGGGGCTTCTCTCAACATAGAAGGCCTTGTAATGGGCGTCGGGGGAAGCCAACTCTTCGTCAAGCACTACGCCCACATTCAGCCGATTTGGTTTTTGTAGGTTCCCGGTGGATGAGGCTCGATTTGGCCAACCCTTAGTGGTGGTCTGAGGTATTGACGGCGGCGATTTGTGGCTTTAACGTTTCTAGAGATGAAGCTGATGTGGCAAACAATTTGTATTTTTAAAATTCAAAATTGACACGTTATATTCCACGTATGAGAAAAATAGGACAACTCATTAAGTTTTGGCCAACGAGGCAGCTCTACCGTTAAAATTTTGACGCCGTAACTAAAAGGATTAACTTGACCCGATTTTTCACAAGTTGGGACCACTTTGAACTTTTTAAAAAAGGTAGGACCACTTTGAACAATCCCCCTCTTTCTAGGGACCAAAAGAGGTATTAAGCCTATTAATAACAACAACTTACAATTTTTACTCATAAGCCTGAGAAGTAGAAGAGATAGGTTTGAAGTATTGAAGTGACATACGATTAAAGATATTGATGGTATTGACACAAGTTGCCTTTAGTTGACCAATTTTATAGGGCTAATGGATTGATCATGATTCCATTTTAAAGGAGTGTATGGTTTGTTATTGTATTGTTTGTTATAGTCTTACTATGTATTGATGTCGTTCGATGTGGTAGGATTATAACAAGGACTCAACGACTGAGATATAAATGTTGTATAGATGTTTTTATGTTTTTCTTTGTTAGCTCACACGTATTTATTTTTGTGTGTGGCAATGATTATATAATGTTTGTGTTATACAGAAACAAATGTAGATATTTTAAGAAGTGTGTAAACATTGAGAGATGGAGAAACCTAATGTTAGGCTTTTATAAGAGTTGTATTTTGTTTTGGAAAAAGTTTTACATATTTATATTTTTGCAAACAATTGAACTCAAATATTTGGACGGTAAATACTCATAGGATTCAAATTTATTTGAGAAATTATTTTTAATTGTGAAAAATTTAAGTTTTGATGAGTTTTAGTGACACCTATCAAATTGGGGTGTTACATTGGTTCAATGTCTTTTTATAGGTAAAGAATATCTTGCTTAAAAAATTTACAACAAATGTTATATAAAGCTGAATATAACTAGCAAGATACATTAGTGCTCCTATAACACTAAGATATTCTTCTAGACCAAGAAGTTTACGTTTTTCTTAAGGTCTAAAAGGATCTTTATTAACATTTAACGACCTTAGTGCTCCTATAACACTAAGATATTCTTCTAGACCAAGAAGTTTACGTTTTTCTTAAAGGTTTAAAAGGATCTTTATTAACACTTAACGACCTGACAACCATTAGAGTGCATAAAGGATATGATTTGTCCATACACTACAAAAATTATTTATTATAGGAGAGGTTTTTTTGTGGGCGGCTGAAAAATCCTCCGAAAAATTTTGACGGTCTCAATAATAAACCGCAACTATGTTTTAACTTTTTTTTTATTTAAAAAATTTCAGCTGTTATTATAAATAGTCGTAGTGAAGTTATTTTTTTATTTATTTTTTAAATAAATTATTGGCGCTTGCTTAGTGANTTAGTGCTCCTATAACACTAAGATATTCTTCTAGACCAAGAAGTTTACGTTTTTCTTAAAGGTTTAAAAGGATCTTTATTAACACTTAACGACCTGACAACCATTAGAGTGCATAAAGGATATGATTTGTCCATACACTACAAAAATTATTTATTATAGGAGAGGTTTTTTTGTGGGCGGCTGAAAAATCCTCCGAAAAATTTTGACGGTCTCAATAATAAACCGCAACTATGTTTTAACTTTTTTTTTATTTAAAAAATTTCAGCTGTTATTATAAATAGTCGTAGTGAAGTTATTTTTTTATTTATTTTTTAAATAAATTATTGGCGCTTGCTTAGTGAAACGCATTGTAAATAATTTTTTATTCATTTTTAATTTGTGCCATCATTTTCACTTTGCCTCTCTTTTCAAAACCCTATTTTCTCCATCTTCTCCACCGTTCCTATCATGTCTCGTTTTCCATCTTCTCCACTATGGCTGTCGTTCCCCAACAACATTTTCTCCTTCGCGCGCCTTTGCATCTTCTCCACTATAACTTTCGTTCCCAACCCTAATCTCGCCTTCACTGCTAGTTCATTTTGCATTTTTCATCTTCTGAAAACGCACCCAACCCTAGTTTCGTCTTCACCGCTGGTTCATTTGGCATTTTGCATCTTCTGAAAACGCAAAAAGGGTGAAAAAACATCATTTAGATCCTAATATTAGTGTTCCCCACTTCTCTTTTCCATCCAGCACTCTTGTTGCAGAAGTGAGGAAAAAGTGGTTGCCTTGGACACTTCTTTCGTCGTTCTCTGGTATGCCATCCCTTCTCAGGTGCTTTTTTTTGTTCTTGCGTTTGATCCATTTTTTAGATTCATAAACGTGATTTTGTTGGGTGTTGAGTTGGGTGCATTGTGAGACCCAAATGGATTTTGACATTTTGAGGTATTTTGGTGAAATGGAAATGATATTTTAAGCCGTAAGGTGTTTGTAAAATTGCTCCAGTTAAAAATCACATTTAACCTAGAACATTTGACATATTTCTTATTTTATCTTCTTGATGCTTTACGAATCATCATTTCAATGATGTATGTATGCAAGTGCAACACTATCTGATTTCTCTTTGAATCGTTGGTTGCAGGATTTGACTATTGTTTTATCAACACTTCTACCTGTGATATCTATGAGTAATGACGGCAAAGATCAATCAGATTTCTCTGTGGGACTAAAGGTAATACTATTGATTTCATTAGTTAACTGGGTGACATGGGTTAAAACTAATATGGATCTAAAAACCTCATTGTAATTGATGGAAGTATGACAAAAACATTGCTGGAAGGAGTTGTTAAGAGACAAGTATAAGAGCATAAAGTTGAGGAGTTTAATGCCATGGGAAAGGGAAGCGTAACCGGAAGCTGGTATCTAATCCTATTATTTATGCCATTGTTTTCTTTAATTTATTTATGCTTCTTTTATTCTATTTTCTAACTAAGCATTAATATTTACTATTGATATATTGTGATTTACTATTGATATTAATAGCTAAGCATTAATATTGGAAGATGTTAGCTCTGATGATAATTATGAAGCAAAGCTTACTGATGGTGATTCAAATTCCATTGGAACTGGAACTACTGCTGCTAA